ATGATAATTATAATAATTGAACTTAACTAGGCTATAAATGTTGTGTAAATATATAACATATATTTTTACACAATATTATAATATATTATATTGAATGTTTTATTGTTTTTTGTGTTTCCTGAACATTTTGGTTTTTGGCACATAGAACGTTTGACACATTCGCTCTTCCATATGTGTTTTTAATAAATTATTTAAGTTCAACAGATTATTATTTTTATAATATAAGCTTAAACTTTATTAAATTTTCATTTTATATTTTAAAAAGGTTTGTAACTCAATGACTGGAATATCAAGCCAGACATGTTACATTTGTGGGTGTAAACCAAAAGAGTTCAATAATATTGATAATGTCATAAATAGAACTAGTATTACAGACAATTACAGATTTGAACTTTCAACGCTACATGCATGGATACGATTTTTTGCATTTAGCATATCGTTTGGAGTTCAAAACATGGCAGGTAAACCTTATTCTATTTCATTATCTTAAACTTGTTAAAAAAAAACTGTATATTACTATATTGTATACCAATATCAACAGGTTAAGGCGGTTCATAAATATGTGTTCAATAAAAGAAAACAACTCATACAAAATAAATTTCGGTCCGAGATGGGACTGTTAGTCGATGTGGTATTGCAAGGTTTGGTGCAGCAAAATTCAATTACATAAAATAAAAATAAAAAATTATTTTTTGATCAAAAGTGAGTACCTACCTACTTATATGTTTTGGAAAATTAGAAGTGTACATTACAAAAGCAATTTGGCGCAAGATTTTTTTTTTAAATTTATTGCTGACAACTTTTTCTACAAAATGTATGTATTCAATAGTCCGTAAAATTGTGTAATTTTTAGTAATGTTGTTCAATAACCAGAAAAACACTGGAAAACGTGTGTTTTTGTGTTCAATTTTACATTACTGATAGAACTGAGAAAAAAAAATTCTTTCAGAATTAAATATTAAGAACAACATAATAAGTGTGAATAAAAAAAAAATTTTTTTAAATAAATCATTTAGAGTGAAAAAAAATGATTACCATTTATAGCGTAAAAGTTGAAAATATTTGTTAAAAATCTATATATTTCAAATCAAACGGTTGTATCATATTTAATAATCAAGTGATTGACCTCATATTTTTAATTTGCCATGAAAATACTGTAATAAAAATATTTAAATACCAAAATTTAGAGTTTTTCACTTTTTACAAATAGCACTTTTGGCCAGCTAAAAATGGGTTTCAGACCACTCGCGCGCCTTTCCCGTTTAGTAGTAACCCGGATTTAATTGCTCGACTTGATGGATTATCACGGTCCAAATACGTTTCAGTAAAAGCTGAGCAATATAATGCTGATTCTGGGGAACTACTTTTCTGGTAAAGATGCTAACAAAACAAAAAAAAAACCTGATCGACACCATAATTTTGTACTGGTCTATATTATTTTCGTACAAACATTTAAACACCTACCTATCGTTATTTTATGTAAGACGACAACGTTCACACACGATATAGATGTAAGGCGATTCTAGCAAATTATTTGCATTTTACAACAATATACAATAAATGGCAATGCAAAATAAAGAGTGGAACTGCCGCGATATCAGCCAACACAGATAGGTACAGAACGTTCCCATTCCAAGATCGGTGTTCATTATTACACCAGTAAATACGGACGTGTGCTTGATACGAATTTAAAACAAACAAAACAATGATAGATACAACATACATCGCGTCTGTTCACAACACCAGTAGTAATAAAGCACAACAAAATCATACAATAGTATGGTTTGCTTATCTGCGTGTTGACATTTTAAAATTTTTGATTTTAATTTTTTTGCGTAAAACATTTACAACAAAAAATACCGTATTGGACCATGGGAAATTAGACGCAGAAAAAAATATACTAGAATGAACATCACACATTCACACAGCACGACCGTAAAATAAGTAAAGACAACGACCTGTCAGTGGACGAATAGAATATGATTATGGTGAGCGGACGAAATGGAACGTTTCATGGTAGTGGTGTCGACGACACTGGCGCCGAGAGCGGTTTAAAACGCAGACAACATGGGAAAGTTGATTTCATTGGAAACCGTTAGAAACCAGCCCTCTAGTGAGCAACTCACGTACCATTTATTTGTGTTATACTTGATGTTTAATAATACATGCAGCATAGGAACCAGCTTCGAAAATCACTCACACAGGTTTAATATTGTATTATTCATACACAACATAGTTATGTTATGATCTATGCTACATTTAAAAAAAATTGTGGATGACCTAAGTTTCACCAATAATGCACCCCCAATTCCCAGTCGGCAGTCGGGTTTTATTCATAAATAAACTTCACCACTCTTTCATAACGACATGCAGGAACTATACTAATTTCCGATAGGTCAAACCATATCTTGCTATGTGTATCAATAAAAAGTAGGCATAATTAAGGACATCCCGCTGACGATGACAGGATGTAATGACCTTGCATTTTCCTATGTTAAGAGATAGTCCATTGTCACCATAATATATTAAATCTAATGTGGACTGAAGAATTAAACATCAGTCGTCATGTGATGAAATCCTGTAAAAGATTTTAGCGTCGTCAGCAAAGAGGAGAAGTCTACATGGATAAATTATGGGTTAGACAATGTTGATGAAGATATTGAATAATAATGGACCTAAGTGACTACCTTGGGGGAACTCCGGAAAATACTTGAATTCGTACTGAAGTTTTATTAAAGATTTTCATTGAATTTGATCTGACAAGTAAGATTGAATCCAAGATAAGAGTTGCTCACCAACACCTAATCGATCAAGAATAAAAGGAAGGAAACCATGGTCAATTACATCAACCTGTTATTTAACATGTTTGGATTCATTAAATAAATTTTAATTTTTATACAACCTTGTAAGAATGGAAAAACTACATTCTGCAGTAGCAACGCTGACGGAAAGTGTACCAATAAGAAATATTTACAAGACTATCAATTATTTATTTGAGGTTTATTTAAAATTCAAATATGCTATCGTGCCACTTAATCCATCTGTCTCACATAAAGAAGTAATTGATCGTTTTTTGAACTTAGATAATTATTCAACATAAAATTGCGTTTTGAAGATAAATTAAAAAATTATAAAACGTATTTAATGTTGCCCATGAAATTTCTTACTGGTTGTATATTAGATGATTTTGATATTGACAAATTTAAAACATGGTTGAACACGATTTTTAATATTTTTCATCTGCCTTTGAAACAATACATTAGTAGCCTTCTATTAAATTTTCAAGCTTTCTCAACCTACAAATAAAATTTTATTGATATTTTTAGAAAAAAAAACTAAAAACAAATGCAAAATGAAAATGTCTATAAACAGTTCAAAATAAATCAAAATATTTTGAAAATTTTATCCTGTATAGAAAATGCAAATATAAACAACCAGTGAAAATTGCATGTATATACGTTCATTTCTTTTAGAGTTACACCAAAAACCAAAATCGATTTTTTGGAAAACCAATTTTGCGTAAAAATTCCCGTTTTTCCTTAATTTTTATGTTGTTTTTCCCGGCGCTTGTGAAAACTACTGGGAAATTTATACTTTTGACCCCCCAAAAGTACCAACTAGATTCACTTTCCTATCAGAAAAGCTACTGATGAAGAAAATCCAAGCACTTTTACTGTCCTAAAACGTGATGACAGACACAAAAAAAAAAAAAAATAAAAAAAAAAAAAAACACATCATTGTAAAACCAATACATTCATCGCTCCGCTCAGAATCTAAAATGATAAAACGTCTTTAATGATGCCCAAGAAATTTCTTACTGGTTGTATATTAGATGATTTTGATATCGACAAATTTAAAACATGGTTAGAGCTAGGACTATGAACAGCGTTGACAACTCTTTTGATTGTGTTGAACGGGATGTTATTATTATCTCTAATTATTGATGTCATTACAGCACATCCATCAGCCTCAATTCCAATATATCCAAATTCAGTGACATGTCTTTTAAAACATGAACTACAGTATTGCATAACATCTCACCAGTTAGTTTTATTTTTATTTCAAAATTTATATTTGTACAAGGTTCTTTGTCATCTAATTCATTACGGTTTGTATATTGTTTACATTAATTTTGCTAATCCTATGTTAGTGAAAAAGTGGTATATATTTTTGGAGTTCTCTTCGCCGAGTGCTTGTTGCATCGTTGGTGGGTTTCCGAGAATTTGTCTGGAGCTGTTGAACTTGGGGCATTCGAGTATGATGTGTTTTATCGTCAGTTCTTTATCACAGAGTTCGCAAGTCGGGCGGTCTTCTTTGATTATAAGGTGCAGGTGTGTTAGACGGGAGTGTCCAATCCGAGACCTTGTGATGACTACTTCATCGTGCCTGGATAAATCAAATAATTTATGATTTTTACAAAGTTAGTAATTACTACTTACTATTTTTGTTACCTGCCTACCTATCCTAGCTTGAAGTTATTGTTTCGGGAGCCGGTTGAAACGTCGACAAATTGAAATGTCGACGGTCGAAACATCTACAAGTACAAAATGGCGACAGGTCAATATATCGACAAGTACAACGTCGACAAATAAAAAAAATATTTTAGAATTATTTTTACAAATTAAATTAAAACAAGTATATAAATTATGTAAATAAAAAAAAATATTATAGGATATAAAAATAAAATGTATGACAATAATATGGTCAATATGTCGATAAATCAAATTAAATAATTAAGTAATTAAATAAATAAAAAAAAATTATAATGTCATATTATAAGTAGTCCCTCTTAAAAACTCCATAACTGGAACGTTTCCCTGATTTTCAATTACGTTTTGGATTCTGTCCTCTCGTTGTTCATTTTTCTTTTTTGAATGTGGACGAGGTACTCCACGGAGTATTGGCTCAATCATTATTTCTGTATTCTTTTGTTCTTTTTGTAATTCTTTTATTAAGTGGTATACTCCTACGTGTGAATCACCAACAAGACACACAATATTCTAATTAAAAACAGACCACAATTCTGGTGAAAATAACGGTAATCCTCGAATAATGTTGCCATTCCGTAGTGTTTTTCGAACTCGACCAAGAACATAGTTATCCTCAAACCACATTAAAAAATGTTCCGTGCCAGATTCTATTTCTAGTTGTTCTTTAATTTCAGCAAATGCTGATGGAATTTCTTCTGGTGATAAAAAAGCAAGAGCAAGCAAATGACGGACTAGCAAACTAAATTCTTCGTCTTCCCCATACTTAATAGAAAGACCAACGGACTGAACTTTTCGCCACATACTTTGTCCCAAATGAAAGAGACATAATCGACTTTGATTAGTTGTGAACTCTTGTTTAACTGCACAAATAGCTGCTTGTTCAAAATCAGTTAAAATATAGCCAGGCTGTAAAACTATATTATTTTCTGATGCATATAGTCAAACTATAAAATGTAATCTTTTTTTTCGATAATTTGTACTGGTCGATATATTGACCTGTCGACATTTTGTACTTGTCGATATGGATGATCCGTCGACATTTTGTACTTGTCGACATATTAACTGTCGATGTTTCGTACTAGACCCAAAAAAAATAATATGAAAATAAATAATGAATCTTTTATGGGTTTCTAAAATCTAGTAGATAGGTACATACTTTTGCAGTTTTACCATTAAGCCCACTACATGTTTGCATTTCCCTGTTCCCGCTTTACATGAGCATTTCGTGGACAAAACATCTTTCGTCCTTGAAACAATGGGTCTGGTACGAAACATCGACAGTTTTTTATAATACCTATGTATTTAATTTTAAAAGAGGACCCCTGAAAATGAATTGGAGCTGTGGAGCTGTACTGGTCGACCTCAACAATGGGGGAAAAATAGTTCTGCTTCTAAAAACATGTATAAAGCAGTTCCATTAGAAGAGTTCTGTGATGTTCAACTTATGAAGCCTAGGTACAGCCAAACCCTACCAGATGATATACCTGATGATTTTGTAGTAATCATAGTCGCTAGTGTCATCAGTTGTCTGGTCGACTGGGCACGACACCAGCCGACATTATTATTATTATTATGATTACCACTTTTATACTCTGTCGTTACTGGTTAGTTCACTTTTTGCCGATCGTTATTGTGTGTACCTCTGTCGTTACTAGTTATGATTATGTAATGTGTGCAAACCATGCTTTCACTCATGTGTGTATAATTGTTATTTTAGACTGTTACTTAAGTTTATTGCAGAAATAAGAAATATGCTATTGTTTATGAATTAATATATTTATGAATCAAACTCATTCAAGTTATTATTGATCCTGACTTAATTCTTCCGTCTACAATTTAAAAGACGAAATTATATAAGAGTTTTTATTAGGTACAAATAATTTTTACAGGTCTTTCTAGTGTTGTAAAGTATTTCACTGCCATGCTGAGTAAGTTAATCATTTTTTTTTTAACTCAGTTATGTTAAGTTAATATGCTCCAATAACAGAGAGTTAAAAAAAAGTTAATTTGTTTATACAATGCAAGCATACTTAATTATTTTTCAACCCTAAACTAAATTATAGAATATAGTGTTAATACTTTATACAGTATTTCCATATAAGTTAGATTCAATTATTCAAATGATATACATTTTTAACTTTAAACAATTCAAGGTAAATACTTCTTGACATGAAAATAAAATAGACTGAAATAGTGAAATAAAATAAAATTAAAAACAAAATAAATTAACATAACTTACTACTTAAAATGAAAAATTAGTTCGTTAATTTCACATTAATTAAAATAAAATTTAGTAAGTTGTTGAAAATCCAAAAGTAACTTTAGTTAAAATACAATTAACTTTTTAACTTAACTTTAACTTTTTAATTCGTTAATGCCCAGCCTTGAGTATTTGAGTAAAAACTGCTGAGGAACAAGGATTCACAAAACTAAAGAAATATAATAAAAATTTGTATAATATAATACTAGTAGCAGTGAAATACCAGAAATTCAAAATGGAAAAACACTATCCATTTCGGAGCAAGACCTATTAAATTATATTTTAGAAACAAAAAGTTCTGTAGTATTCAATTATGAAGAGTACCTTAAGTTGATTAATAATAAATCATAAGATGAAATTGATTTTTTTTATGCAAATGTCCATGTTGATCGTAAAAAAGTTGAACAAATGTGTTCTAGCACATATCAACAAACTAGTTTTTTATGGTTAAAAGAAAGACAAGTTAGAATAACAGATACTACTGCTTATAGTTTTTTTTTACTTACCTACTGGAACAACAAAAACCCTGATTGGGAGTCAAAGGTCAATCAATGCTTGATGTCAAACTTTTCTGGTAAATTTTCCTAAAGCCAGAATTTGTTTTGAAAAAAATTATGATGTAGAAGTTCTTAAATTATGTTTCATAACTAATGTTAAATGTCCATGGTTATGCCGGCAGTACACATTCGCCGAGACTTCGCGAAAGCAGCCGAGTATGAGAGTAAACTAGACGCGCTCGTGTCACTTCACCTCGCCTCGCCTAGAAGGCGCTCGGTCGGAAAGCGGTTTTTTTGTGCCCGAGTCAAAGGACACGAGTCCATTCGATTCGCGAGCACAAGAGAACCTAGTTCATACTCGTGCGTTCTCGCATATTTTTCGCTTTTATTTATTAATTATTGTTGTGCTTTTCTTCATGTGTGACTGGTCCAACGAATTTACGTTGAAGATTTTGGAGTTATACCAAAATGAACCCGTTATATGGGACCCGATTCATTTGTACCACAAAGACAGGAAACAAATCAACAACGCATGGGTTTGATTAAGAGGACAACTGGAATGTCCAGTAACCGAATTAAAGAAAAAAAAGACTAGCTCATGGCTACATTTAGGGGCCATTTGGGTAAAAAAATCATCGATTAGATCAGGAGCTGGTTTAAATTATATTTACAAGCCAATATGGTTTGCCCACGAGTATATGGAGTCATTCCTACCACCAGTTTACGAATACCAGTGAACTATAAATACTCAAGATACAGTAAGTACCTACAATAGATAATTATATTTAACCCGTCGTAACGATAACGACTTCATAACGCTCTTAAAAACTATTTATAAAATAAATATTACAACTATTTTTATAATTACAATAGTCAATAAGTGTATTTAAATATTTATTTTATATTACATATTATTGTAAAAGTATGCAGTAAATGCATCTCTTATCTTGATAGCATTAGTTGTCGGTCGACGAGATATTACTTCCAAATGTCTAATTGCGCAAGAATCCTGTATGTCCTGTCTCCATGATCCCTCTTGAATTAAAGTACCGTTACGGTATGTATCAAATGTCCCCGGTGGAGCATACATTTGGTTGGAATTATTTTTTCTGATAAAATTGTGTAATAATATGCATGTTTTGGTTCTGTATTTAATGCAATTGGTTTTCTAAATATTCAAAATCTCGAAGCCAATATCCCAAATGTATTTTCAACTAACACACGTGAACTAGATAACTTTTCATTAAATAATCGTTTCTCAGATCCGAATTCATGATTTCCCGGATAAGGCTTCATTATGTGCGTACTCAATGCAAAAGCACCGTCACATAAAAAAAAACATAAGGCAAGGGTTCGTCTGATCCAGGCCAAGGGCATGGCGTCGCCAAATTCAAATTATTTTCCGAAATTTTCAGCCATAATACACTATTCCGTAATACCAGAGAACAATATAGAAGCGAAACTCGATCAGCTGATTGGGGTATTGGTTACCTATGATCTAAAGTCTGAACCTACGAAAAACATGGAATTGGTTCCCGCACCAACATGATATTAGACCCGTATATTATGAAATCGGTTCCAAGACTAAGGCGGGGTCGGCTTGCTTACCATTCCCTATTTCACGTATGCCACGTCCTCCTGAAGACCGTGTTCAAGGCCGCAATCGCCTGGTTCGGCCAACGCACGGAGTTTAGTACCCCTGGTAATACCATCACTAATCCTTCCTTGGCTACCGATGTCAGCAAACATAAACTGATAGTTACTGTAACTCGGCTACGGCGGTGATTGAGTGGTGTCCGCAGTAAGCCGGTCGTAGAGTGTAGGTGATGGTGTTGAGGCTCACAAAGGAGAGAGGAAACCAAATCAAAGAGAACGCAACACAGTTTGATTACGGAGTGCCTTGTGTGGCTATTTATTTGTGTGTAAAGACAAGAGAGTTATTTTACACTTTTATCATCTCTTTTTACAAAAGTCGAGACGAAGACGGTCGGTATCGGCGTAGTCGGTAACACGGATGGTGGTCAAGAGTATTGTTGTCGGCGAGACGGTCGACGTAAGAGAGGGTTCCACTTGCCACCGGCGACCGGTACTCGCTCTACACGAATTGCCTCCCCGTCCCGCCTTGCCTTTGCATCGTGTTGGGAGAGTTGGCGATGTCGCCCTCGTAGCCCGTGGTGGTGGTTTGTGAAGTGCAGATAGGTAGCTACGACGCCTGTACTTTGTACTTGTCATCGGTTGCGTACCGTATCAACTGTCTACTACGGCTAAAAGGACAATACTGAAAGTTTTTTTGTAATTATAATACTCCGATCCTGTATGAGATGGGCATTGTATGACAATGTGCTTTCTATCCATTGCTCCGATGGCGTGGGGAAATTTTTACTGAATCCTTTTTCTACAACTAGCCATTCATCTTGTGTAGACGGCATCTGTAAAAAAAAACGTAGAGCTACTTGATGTTATTTTTCTACAAGAAAAATGTATGAATCATTTAAAAAATATAAATATAAATATAAATTTTTTTTGTTTTGTTTAGTCTTTTGTAAACGATGAACAAAGCCAACGTGAGGAAATTAGTGCCGTCGAAGAAAATCAAAGTGTGGTACTTGAGAATATAACAGAGGATACGAGTACAGTAGTTAATGAGCAACCACACGTAACACCTTCACGACCAACGCCAACGATTCGACGTTGCGGTGCCCCTCCTGAGCTTCAAGAAGCAGGAAACCAAATGAAAGAAGCATTTAGCTTGTTAAGAAATGTTATTACCAAAAGAAATAGTGACAAAGGAGATGATGAATATGATCTGTTTGGTAAAAGACGGTGAAAAGAATAAGAAAACTGCCAGAACATGAACGAGAGGAATTTATGCATGAGGTCGAAGGTTTGTACTTCAACAAACTACGTAACGCATACTATGCTAATTCAAATACTTCATCTACTGAAATATTTAATCGACCATTTACAACATTAAATCTAACTTCAGCAATTATTGGACGAGATATATTAACCACATCACCAATAACGACCATTATCTTACTAACTTTTGGTGTAAGAGCCCATGGAATTTTATTTTGAAAGACCTTAAAAATTTTAATTCGCTGTATTGTTTTTCTACATGAACTCGGGCTCTGACTATTTCTGTGTTGAACATACAATCTTCTAGTTTAAATTGCTTATTTTTGCCAAGAAAATGGGGTCTGTGTAGAATAAACCACGTTCTGGACATTCTTTTTCAATTAAAAACCCTTTGTCAACCATTATTCCATCATATTCTGTACACATATCTGAAATACAACTTTCATTCAAAATGTTACTTATGAATGTTATCAAACCATCTGGAGCAATTCCTATCATATATTTTATGGTATTATTTCCTTTATAATGAGAATAAGATCTTATTTTACATGATAAACATTTTTGCGTTCTACTCTAGTCTCTGTAAAATCGAGAATCACTCTGGTATTAGTAAAGTTATCAAAGCATTTATGCATATTTCTTAGAATTACTTTCTTAGGAGACCAAATAATCAAATTTTCACAAACTAAATATAGGAGGTCAATTGCTTCTAAAAAATAATTTGTACAGCAAGAATTAGATATACCAAAAAACACTCCCAAACTCACAAATGTTAAGTCTAATTTTAGCTTCATGAAAGTCATAGTAATTCGTTCCCTCAGATCAAGCTTAAAATGTATATTGTCCTGCAACTTGTTTACGACTAATTGTGATATCTTGGTAATTTGATCTGAATATGTAATTTTAGGCATACCAGTAAGTGCATTGGGCATGGACCAGTTGCGCCTAAAACAATATTTGTACTTTAGGTCAGTATACTAGTTGCGCCGCTTAAATTTTAGGTCAGTACACCAATTGCGCTACTTATATTTTAGGTTCCTTATTTTTACATGGATATATGTAAGTTCCTAAACGGCGGAAAAAGTTACATATATATAAACTCAATTAAATATAGCTAACTAATATACATTCAAATATACTCAATTTAAAGCAAAACGTATACGAAATTACGGGAAAATACGATAAGCTACAAGCTGATAATAGTACCTATCCTGACTCGACGTAGGGCGAAATATACACGAGCGTCTAGAGACAGCACAAGAGCAAATATCTTATCAATTATCATAATATTATAATCATCATAAAATTATAACTAATTTTAAATTTAAATTTTCTGTGGTTAAATGTGGTTTAATAATTAATTCATAATATTGTTAACCTTAATCTTAAACGCTAATAAAAAAATAATAGTATAATATAGGTAATATTAGGTATTGTTGTCTTATAATTCATACACAAATAATTAAAATAAATATATAGGTAAGCGTACCTTATAAAAATTATAATAATAATAAAATAATTTAATAATAATAATTATGTAAAAGTTATCAAATTACAAGTCAAGTTATTGATTTATTGTTCATATGCATGGTCAAAATGTGGATCTATATGAACATAAGGATACTCTTCTTTTCCATTTAAGTCGTCTATTATTTGCTGTCGTACATTTAATGTTGGCTTGTTTAATCGCTGTTCCTCAGGTATTTTTAATCTGAGTTTTTTTGTTGAAACATTTTTATTGGCTGGTTCACAATTTTTATTTAATGAAATTGCAGCATTGCTCTCCTGTTCATATAATATTTTTAAATTTGTGTCTAACGATGAATTAATTTTTTCAGCTGCTCATTGTTCAATTTACCCCCCTGTGACACAAACATGCTGTAAAGTTGTTGTATTTTGTTCGCAATACTTTCTGTTGATGGGGCAGTAATTTGCTGTACACTTGATATTTTCAAGCAAACTTCATCAGTTTCCATTGGGTTATTAGTACAAGTTTGGACGTCAATTTGGTCCTCGTGGTCATCGTTTGTATTAATTTTTACGGCATGGATATGCTTACACATATTATTTTTAATTGTATAATCATAACATGTACATTAGAACAAATGTACACAGATTTTACATGCGACACAAATAACCTTACATGCACATGGTTCACATTTCTTTACTAAATATTCCTCTTCTAATGATTCTGATTTCACAGTCCAAGTAATTGTTGACGTTTTATTAATAATGGAACTATGAATTTGTGCTACAGAACGATGACGATCGTTAATAGCGTTAACATAATGTGTAACTTTTTCACCATTGCACAGCTTTACAAGTCTCTCATAATTCTTGTCTCTTACTGATTTTAGCAAATGCCAGAGTAATACATCAAGTCGTTGATTTTTTTTCCCCTTTAAATAAACATATTTCAGTGTTTTATGGAATGCTTCCAAAACAATATTGGTGTTAAGCATAACTTGCTGTCTATAACATGCAGCTCATATTTTTTTTCTATAAACATAGTGACTCACAAAATATGCTTTAAAGTCATGCAAAGCGGGTTCCTTTTCTAATTTACACAGAAAAGAATTGAGAAGCATTTCAAACTGTGTTTCATTTGGTTCTTCGAGTAAAACTCTGAGAGTTTTATATATATAAGCTTTCACAGTAAATAGAAATAAATCTATTTAAGATTTTTTCACCAATTATTATCTATATACCACTTACATAAAAAAGGGAATTTGGGAAATTGGATACATTGTCTTAATCCATGCATTCCAAAATGATGGAGCATCAACGCTCATAAACACATTTGGTGCAAGGCAACCAATATCCTCCTTTATTTTTGAAAAAAAAAAAGGTCATATGCCTTTCGTCTATTTTTGTACTTATACAAAAAGCTGCCGGATATCCTTCACCAAATTCATCAATTACTACAATTGTGGTAAGATTGAAATTATATTGATTAGTACCATGCGTTGAATCAATACATAATTTTCCGCTACCAAATTTTTTAAGGACTTCTTTTTGTGTTTCAGTCAATATAATTAACATAAAATCATTGATGTCTAATGGAAAATACTCAGTTCCTTGGGTTTTGTACAAAATTATGGGATTCAAAAAGTTTTCTTGAAATTTTTTAATCTGAAGATCGACACTTAAAGCATCAACGTCATGGAGCTTATATTTATGAAGTAATCCACACTTGGAAAAAATATTATAAACATCTTTTCGAGTAATTATATTCTTATAATTCGTATACAAATAATTAAAATGGCAAAGAAGAGTCTCCTTATGTTCATGTATATCCACATTTTGACCATGCATATGAACAATAAGTCAATAACTTGACTTGTAATTTGATAACTTTTACATAATTATTATTATTAAATTATTTTATTATTATTATTATAATTTTTATAAGGTACGCTTACCTATATATTTATTTTAATTATTTGTATACGAATTATAAGACAACAATACCTATATTATACAATTATTTTTTTTATTAGCGTTTAAGATTAAGGTTAACAATATTATGAATTAATTATTAAACCACATTTAACCACAGACAATTTATCTCGAGTCTAGAGACAGCACAAGAGCAAATATCTTATCAATTATCATATCGTATTTATTATCAATTAGCAGTTAAAAATTTTCAAATCGCAAAACGTTTTTCTTTATTAGTCTTTTGAAATTTTAAATAATTGAAATTTTGATTTATTCAAATATGTTTGAGTGCGCGTATTGTAGTCGTCAATTTGATAAAAAGTACAATTTAGTTAGGCACATAAGATTACACATGGAGGGATGCACTATTAAATCTTCAAGACCATTGATGGATGCAGAAATTGAACTGGATATAATTAATATGAATTTTGTTTCGTTTCAGGGTAAATATACTAGTTGAATTTTTCACTATCTAACATATTTATGAAATCAATATTTTGATTTTTCATGATTATTTACAGAGTTTGAAGAATGGAAATCCATTGAAGAGGTAAGTTCTTCGTCACGGTTTGTTAAACAAAGGGGACAAGATTTAACAAAGATAAAACTGTAGCCAGAAGCGTTTACTATTGCCATCGTTCTGGAATGTTTTCAAGCAAGGCTACTGGAATTTACTAGCTTTCTAGCTTTCTAGTAACTAGAAATTCGCTGGGCTAAACCGGTTTAAATTTCCCCTTAAAATGTAAAGTACATTGTAAAGTAGTTTGGTTTTAAGAAATTCGCTGAACCAAACCGATTTAAAATAAGACCCACCGGTTTACTTTTTCTTAGACCACCACAACTAGGTGGTTTAAAAACACCGGTCCTGATTCGTCCCCTCCTAATTTTAATAATTCCCCTTAATTTATTATATTATCACAGCTGTCTGGCTATCACTTATTAATTTATATTTTTATCATATTATAATACCGAAATCCCGTTTGTGACCGAAATAGTATTATTGTTTTTGTATAATATATAGTTTTTGAATAGGGATGTACTAGCATTGTATGCATGTTTGTATATTTAAACAAAGGTACTAGGTGCATACACAGGTATTTAAAATTTATATTATTTTCATAACATTCATTTTCATAACACTAAATATGGCAAGTGTTTGGTATTGGAAGACAACTGAAATTGATGATAAAGACCAGAATATCATGGATAACATACAAGGTAGGTAATGTCTTAACTGAAACACATAATGGGAATAGCAATTATAATTTATAACCATAATATTATAAAGTTAACTCTTCTTTTTATGATGTGCAAACTTAAAGAGACGGTTAAGAATTCTGTAGGTTTTAGGTTTAGTAGTATAGGGGTAAGCAAATCAATGAGGCAAGTGTAATAAAATATACCTACTTAAAGGTCATTGAAAGCTAGTAGACATTGTATAAAATATTGTTTGGAACTAGTTATGTTAAATGGAAATTTTTAAAAACCTATTTAAAAACAGTCTTGATTTGAAAATTCTCAGTATAGGTATTTTACTATTTTAGATTCTGAGCGGAGCGATGAATGTATTGGTTTTACAATGATGTATGTTTTTGTTTATATTTTTATATTTTTGTGTCTGTCATCACGTTTTAGGACAGTAAAAGTGCTTGGATTTTCTTCATCAGTAGCTTTTCTGATAGGAAAGTGAATCTAGTTGGTACTTTGGGGGGTCAAAAGTATAAATTTCCCAGTAGTTTTCACAAGCGCCGGGAAAAACAACATAAAAATTAAGGAAAAACGGGAATTTTTACGCAAAATTGGTTTTCCAAAAAATCGATTTTGGTTATTGGTGTAACTCTAAAACAAATGAACGTATATACATGAAATTTTCACTGGTTGTTAATATTTGCATTTTCTATACACGATAACATTTTCAAAATATTTTGTTTATTTTGAACTGTTTAGGGACATTTTCATTTTCCATTATTTTTTAGTTTTTTTCTAAAAATATCAATAAAATTTTATTTGTTGGTTGCGAAAGCTTGAAAATTTAATAGAAGGCCCCTTAATATGTTGTTTCAAAGGCAGATGAAAAATATTAAAAACCCTTAGTCACAATTTTTTTTATAAGCATTTAAAGTTCAAAAATTGACAAAATATGGAAAAATCACGAAAATTAGCAAATTATTTTGAGTTAAGAATTCGTAAAAATTTTTCTTTTTAAATCTAAGATTTGAAAATGAAACACAAGATTCCTTATAAGATTATCTACCTTTATCAATAAAAAAATCTCTACCGGACAGTCAAATTAAATTTTTATGAGCGTTTGAAATTCAAATTTTACAACATTGGATTTTCACTCGATTTCTCATGTAGCGATTTCCTTACTTTGTTGTAATTCAAAAACGAATAACTGTAGATACATGAAAATTTCACTGAATGTTTATATTAGCATTTCCTATACACCATACAATTTTGAAAATATTTTGACTCTTTTGAGCTGTTTACGGACATTTCAGTTTTCAATTTTTTAGTTTTTTTTTTTATAATTGTCAATAAAAGTTTATTTTGTGGGCCAAAAGTCTGAAAATTTAATACAAGCTTTCTTATATATTGTTACAATATCAGTTGAAAAATTTTAAAAATACAAAGGCACGATTTTTTTTTATAAGCATTTAAAGTTGGAATTTTGACAAAATTTATCAAAATCTCGAAATTATCAATCGTTGGAATTAAAAATTATAAAATGTTCAGTTTTTATAACTAAGAGTTGAAAATTTAAAACAAAGATTCTCTTAAATTAATTCTACTGTAACCAAAAAATCTAAAAAATATATAACACACTTATTTTTTACAGACATTTTATTTCAAATTTAAGGACAAAATTTCATATTCAACCAAGATTACGAATTTTAGTTATTTTTTTGTGATTGTATAATATTATTCGTGGGTACTTGAAATTTCTAAAGTAATCTACTATATATATATATATATCTATGCTAGTATCAGGGTTTGTTGTTGGTGTATAACGCGTTATAAGTACCTAATGGATATTGTGATATAATTAATTTGGAATTCATTATAGGTCAATTTTGTTTAATACCATAGATATGTATATAATATGTCTTTATACCTAGAAGGACATACCGTCTCGCCTCGGTTATCGTTTTTCTTATACAATGATATTATATCATTGAATTGTCAAATTTACTACCACCCATTCTACAATGGACCCACTTGTAAACTAATTGTACAGCAGAGCGACACCCACTTGCCCACCTTTTTTT